TCAAGGCTAGCGCTCTACCACTTGAGCCACAGCGCCACTTCTGGCTTTTTTTTTCTTTTTTGCTTATGTGGTGCTGAGGAATCAAACCCAGGGCCTCATGCATGCAAGGCAAGCACTCTACCACTGAGCCACCTCCCCAGCCCCTGAAGTCTTTATTTTCTAAAGATAGGCAACAGAGTTTAGTGATGGATATGAATTTGAGAAAAAGGAAGCAGGCAGGAATGTTGCCCATGGTGTGCCCTGAGCATCCATGAAAGATTTAGCAAATGAAACAAGGAGGATTGAGACTGGCATGTGATACATGTGTGTGTGTGTGTGTGTGTGTGTGTGTGTGTGTGTGTGTGCATAGATATTTTTTTGTCTATATTTTTATTTTTTATTTCTTGGTACTGTGGATTGAGCCCAGGATGTTGCACTTCTAGGTAAGTGCTTTGCCACTGAGCTACATCCCAGCCAGAGACTGGCACATGTTTATAGCTTAGTGGCAGAGTGCTTGCCTAGCAGAAAAGGCTGAAAGTGGAACTGTGGCTCAAGTGGTAAGAGTGCCAGTCGAGCCAAACAAGCTTAGGGACAGTGCTCAAGTCCTGAGTTCAAGCCTCAGGACTTGCCAAAAAAAGGTAAAATTATAAATTCATTTTAGGATATCTGACATTTGAGATGCCTATTAAGTATCTGGACTAGAAATGTCAAGTCGACAGATGTTGCTAACTCTGGAATTGCGGGGAGAGTGGCATAGAGTATGGGATCAAAATGTGGGAATCACCAGCATATAGTTGTGAAGTCATGAAACCAGATGAGATTATCAAGAGATTAGGAGTAAGCAGGAAAGAGAACATAATCTAAGGTCTGGATCCTAGAGAAAGACCTGTAAAAGAAAACCTTATTTAAAGAAATCCCCAAGTCTTTGGAAAGAGGCACATTTTCAGGATGAAAGACAAAAGACCAGAGCTCAATTGTCGTTTAGGCTTTTATCTTTATGAAAGACATTATGGGCTAGCCAGTCTCCGCTAATTATATGTTCCCATCTATAAAGAGGCAAGAATCCAAGGACCATGGATAATCAAAGGCTGCTGTGACTATTAGCATCAGTGGAGGCCAGCATCGCAGCACTCTGGTCTTGGTTCAGAATATTCATCACCAGAGCTGTGTTCCAAGACTGCTGCTGTGGTGGATTTGCACCATATTTCACTGGTCTGACTTACTGTCCATTTTTTGAACTGGTTTTCCATGCTTCTTCACGATGTGGGGCACTTAGCTCATGTCCTTCTGGAGTTGTCTCTGCTTAGAGATTTGTTTTTCAGCCACCAGTCCTTTGCTATTGTTAATATTCCAGGCATCCTTGTATTGTGGATTGAGCCTAGGATGTTGTTATTGTTCCCTAGCTCGTTTATCAATAATGGATTTTGTGAAGTATTTAATTAAAGTTCTTAGATGCCTGGGATTTAAGATTTCTTCAGGTTTTTATAGGATAGGAAAATTGTTTCCTTTTGTTAGTGATAATGGTGCCAAAAGAACTTAAAAAGTATTGTTTTGTCAACACACATCATTAAATATAACTCATTTTCAAAACATGTAGGACAGAGAGCTGTTCACTGACCTACTGCAGCTGGTTCTGTAGGTCAGGTGGGAATCTGTGTTCTCCAAAAAGATGATGAAGTACCATGGCTGGACTTAATCCTAAACTCAGTAACTGTAACTGGAAATAGGGTTGTGCTGATCACAAAAGTGAAGTAATTGCTGTGGGCTTTATCCAGTATGACTGCTGACCTTATGAAAGGAGAAATTGGATGGGACAGAAAAATGCAGAAGGAAGAGGATGCAAGGCACGGATATCTGAGGATGCAGCTGCTGGGGGAGAGACGTGGAGCAGATTCTCCCATTCAGCTCTCCTTTCCCTCTCTCTCCCTCCCCCCACCCACCCCAGCACGAAGAACTACTTGCCACTTGACCTCAGATTTGTAGCTCCAGCACTGTGAAACAATGTGTTTCAGTCATTTTAGCCATCTTGTTTTTGTGATTCATTATGGAAGCCCAGGAAACGAAAACGAATGCAGGGACCTTTTCCCAATTGTGACTAGCAGTTACACTGCTCACCAATCCACACATCCATGAGACTATAGTCTCTGAAGAACTGATTCTTTTTCTAATGGTCAACTGTTAGCAGACCAGACTTCCTTCTAGGAGATTTAGGCACCTTTTTTTATGGCAAAGTGCTGAAAGCAACTGTGCCAAGGTCAGAATGTCTGCACACATTGTCCCCTCACCACAATCCTTCTGCTAGGAATACCTCCCATGGTGGTGGTAGGAAGGTGCACCTTTGGGAGGTCACTGAGTGATGAGGACAGGGGCCTCATATTTAGTATCTTTATAAGAGAGACTCCAAGTTGCCTGGCCTCTTCTACCAGTGAGGACACAAAGCAAGAACCATCCAGGAAGCAAGAAACAGGTCCTCACTAGGTACTACCTCTACCAGCACCTTGATCTTTGACTAGGCCTGGCCTCTAGAATTATGGGAAGTAAATTTCTGTGGATAAGCCACCTATTCTGTGGTTTTTGTTACACTGACCCAACAGACTAAGACAGCTACCAATTTTCTTTAATTAAAAGAATATTAGCTGGGTGATGATGGCTAATGTCTGTTCCTAGCTACTCAGGAGGCTGAGACCTGCAGTTTGAAGCCAGCCCTGGCAAGAAAGTCTGTGAGACAATTATCTCCAGTTAACCACCAAGAAAAGCAAGAGGTAGAGCTGTGGCTCAAGTGGTAGAGCATTAGCCTTGAGCAAAGAAGCTCAGGGACAGTACCCAGGTGCTGAGTGCAGACTCTAAGACTAGCACACACACAAGAAGTACTAACTGCCAATGACTTTAATGTGGCCGATTGATGTAAAACTAGCTTCTTATCAGCATGTTTAAAAAGATTCATAGGCACACAACCAATTCAGATAAAACTAGTGAAAACTACTGTATTACCTTGGGTGTTTTACTTTTAGGAAATTAGGCCTCAAAATCATGTCTACATTAGATTCTATGTATCAAACCCAGAACATTCAGTAGTCTTCCCTTAAAAATTATCTTTCTCTCCTACTTAAAAACTGCACACAATTTTTATTTTTATTTTTAGAATAGGAAGGGAATAGGAGAGTTGCCAGATGGCCTAGGGTTTATAATTAAGAGAAGTGATAGTAGTGAAAAGTTGTCAAAAGTTCTTCAAGCCAGGCATGGGTGGTTCACACCTGTAATACTAGCTGAAATCTAAGGATTATGGCTTAAAGCCAATTTGGGTAGCAAAATCCCTGAGACTCTTAGCTCTAATTAACTGCCAAAAAGCTGGAAATCATTGAGTGGCTGAAGTGGTACAGTGCCAGCTTTATGTGAAGAAGCTAAGGAACAGCACAGGCCCTGAGTTCAAGCACCAGTCCTGGCATAAGAAAAAAAGGTTTCAGACATGTCTTAAGTCACACATATTGGAGTGAATTGAAAGAATTATCAAAGACAAAGAAGCATATCTTCAGTTTTATTATTTGGAATCTACAATTGCCAAGTGGTCTAAGGTAATTTCTTAACACCACTGCACAATACACGAACACATATTTAGAAAAATTACAAAACTATTCCTTAAAAATTATACTCGAGGACATAGTTTACTGGCCAAGCATAAAAATATCTACTCCAAATGTACCTTTCTTTACTGTTTTGTACAATCTTATTGATGTTTGTTTATGGATAACTTGTAGATGCACAGAATTGAGGGAATTATTTTACTTCAACCACGTTCCAATTCTATGAAGAGTACTTATTTGTAAACAGTAGGAAACAAACATGTTCCCTCCCAAAACCTCTAGCTGTTGTTTGCCCATGATTTTTGTTGACTTACTGAAGCAATGTTGAAGAGGCTACCTGGTCCCACTCCATGTTGAACATGTGTTTGCTTTGGGGCATAAATTATTTCATCAGTCTAAGTATTTTCTGGGCATGTGTTCTTATATCTGGACTTGAGAATGACTTACAATGATTATTTTAAGGCAAATGGACTTCAGACATCTTATTTATATCACTTCTTAAGGGCAACTCATCCTCTGGAACTCTGGATCTCCCATAGTGTGTTTGATGTGTCTAAAATATGTGCAATGTTGGTGTCTTGGGGGAGGGAGAGGTACAGTGTTAGAATTACAGCTCATTTTTGAAGGTTCCCTTCTTGTGGTACAGTAAGCATAGAAGCAGGGCCAGATAATTTCATAAAATTAACAACACCAAAGCTGCAAGTCAGGTTGTTACTCTTTCACACATATTTACTTAAAAGACCTAAATACCCAGTTGCTCTGGCTCTTCTATAATGCAAATCAGTTCTGTCATCTTTCCTTTCTCCCTTGCACCAAGACTGTCTTTGACAGCCCTTGGCCTTTCCCATGATCTGCTCCACGAGTTTGCAACCTGACTCATTAAAGGCACAAGGTGATGCAAGAGAATACTGTCCCGTGTTTAGCCCATTAAATCTGCCATTTCAACAGGAGTCAAAAAGGAAATGGTAGAGTACAGGAATAAAAGCAGAGGCTTGTCATCCATGAGCTTGGAGCCACTGATGGTTATGAAGAGATTTTCACTATCAATCTTAACAGCAACTTGATGTAGTCGAAAGCTGGTTGGACTTGAGGTCAAAGGCTTTGGATTTCTCAGTCATGAATAAATGGCCTTGAGCAAGTGAACCTTGTGAGGTCAGTTTCCTCATCTGTCAAAGTAGGGGAAGGCACTTGTGGCCATTAAATCAGACAGTGTGCTTAAAATCCTGTTGTACAAGATACAATTCCATGTAAACAGCTGTTTGATGGGATAAAAATGGATATACAGGAGAAAAATTATGTGGCTTAAAGTTAATACAATTTTGTTAACATTTTGATGTACATGCGCAGTCTGATTTGTGTTCTCCCTATTTGATTGCTTTCTCTTTCTTCTAACTAGGTTGCTGGAGAGCTGAGGTCAATCTCTTCCTTATATGCTCTAAGATGCATCTTAGGAGCCTGAGGATGATGTGCAAAGTCCCAAAGTTAGGACCTTACAGGGAACATTTGAGTCTCACTTCGGGGGAAAATGCAGTTTCACATTAATGGCAAGGAGAACTTTTGGCTATTGGTATATAAAAAGGATCACTGACCAAAATGAAAGAAATATTAAGGGAAACCTCCCATGGTAATGACTTCCTGCTGAAAATTTGATCCGACCTTCAACTGCTGGATAAATTATTTTCATTTTTAAGATGTATTGAGAAACCACGCTGATATCTTGGTCACCTAGAAAAAGACATACATTAATGGAATTACAGAAAAAGTAATTACCAGTTCATAATAAGAAGCGTGGGACAAACAGTGTCTTTCTCTAAAGCCTTTGGTAGTTGTAAAAGGGAAGGCACTCAGAAGGGTGACATTGTCCAAAAAGAAATGCACTTTTTACCTGGACTTATGCAACTGTAACCCTTTTGTCCATAATGTTTATAATAACCATTTTGGATTTTTTTAAAAAAAGGGATGGCATTCACTTTACAATTCCAGGGGTCCAGTTCACAGAGAAAAGAATACTGGTGATCATAAGGACAAAGGCATTGGTTGACCTTTCATACTGCAGACATGACATACGCTGGTTGTTTGGAATTGGATGACTAGAGGAATAGAGAATGTTATCAGGATCTTCTCCATGTCAGGAGACATGCCACTGTCCTAGGCCTTGCAGTAAAGCATGGCCCTTCCCTGAAATTAGAGGACACAGGGCCTTTCAAAGCAGGCAGCTGCAACCGATGATGGCAGCTCCCCACTGGAAGCAGTATCCCGTTTGTGCAGCTACAACCATAAATGGTAACAAGAGACGCCCCTGAAGTAATTTTCTGCTCATGCAGCTGCAACCATAAATCTTAGCCCCGCCATAATGGAGCCCTTCGCTCTCACACCCTTCAGGGCTCACAGGAACCCGACTCTCTGTAACTGTGCTCGTAGTGCCCCCCTGGCTGGTACTCTCAGCCCAGAAGGTAGCCTGTCAGGTTACTGACATTAAATTCCTTTTCTCTGGATGTGACCATGTGGCCCAGTGATTTTTTCTTGGGGAAGCCTTTCGTAGGTGCTGTGACTCTGTTCAGGGCCATCCCATTGACTTTGCTCTTCCCCTCTCAGCGAATCTCGACCCCTCTGGCTCCCACTGAAAATCACCGGAGGTACTCTCTCTCTCTCCCATCACTGAGCACTCGGACTTCACATCCACCAGCGGCCATCTACGTCCACCGATCCTCCTTGATGAGTGAGCTCTTTTCCCGGAACTGAGATTCCATTGCTGATGGCTGAAGTCTTGGTACGGAGCTCTGGGGCTCCCTCCAGGCCTTTGCCTTCGAGGCTTTTGCCCTGGACTTGGTGGATCATGGGTGACCATCCCTTCCCCGTCTCCTCCACACTTTTGCCAGTGGAGGAACTTTTGGGGGTGCCCACTGTCCCTTGTAACTAGTACCATGTGCTCTTCACCAGAGGAGAGTCCTCTTCACATATCCCTTCCCACTCCCCTTTGGGATATAACTTCTGGGAGCGCTGGGGGGAAAATGGGAAGAGCTTTCCTACACATAGGCTTTTCCTTTCTCCCCTCTAAGCCCAGTCACTGCACCTCATGCTCCCCTTTCCCCACCAACACTGCCACCTCCACAGCCTCGACTTGCCTCCTCTCTCCCCTCTGCCTCCTGCCACAGCTGGAGTCCTCCCCGACACCACCATGCACTCGCCCTCAGTCCAGCCTCCTGCAGCTCAGCAGCCCAGGGCGCCTGCTCCTCTCCTTTCCCTCCGGGAAGTGGCCAGCACCAAAGGCATTGTCTGGGTTTATATGTCTGTCTGTCTGTCTCTTTGCCTTTCTTGTTTATGCTCTTGAGTTGAGATGCAGATGGGGTCCCCTCCCCCAGGTCTCCTCTCAAGGCTAGCCTCCCTGGCTTAAATTCTTAGTTAAAACTGTCTTTCTGTCTCTCCTCGAAGGCACCCACACTCTGTTACTGTGTGACCCTGTCTTTCTGCTTTTGTTTGTCTGTCTGCTTCCTTAGAGGTCATTTTGTACACTAATTGTCTTTCTTTCTTTCCCTCCTTTCTTTCCTTCCTTCCTTCCTTCCATCCTTCCTTCCTTCCCCTCTCTCTTTGTTTCTTTCTCTCTCCTTCCTTCCTTCCTTCCTTCCCTCCTTCCTTCCTTCCTTCCTTCCTTCCTTCCTTTCTTTCTTTCTTTCTTTCTTTCTTTCTTTCTTTCTTTCTTTCTTTCTTTCTTTCTTTCTTCCCTTTCTTCCCTTTCTTTCTTCTTTCTTGTCAGTTGTGGGGCTTGAGCTCTGGGCCTGGGTGCTATCCTTGAGCTTCAGCTCAAGGTGAGTGGTCTACCACTTGAGCCACAGCTCCACTTTCAGTTTTCTAGTGGTCTACTAGAGATAAGAGTCTCCTGGACTTTCCTGCCTGGGCTAGCTTTGAACTGTGATCTTCAGATCTCAGCCTCCTAAGTAGGTAGGTTTACAGGCATGAGCCACAGGTGCCTGGCTGATTTTTTTTTAAGGAAAAAATCCTAAGTGTGCCTTAAAACTTTTGTGCACAAGTGTGTGTATGAACACATTAAAGAAATTTCATTGTAATACATGCAAACTGTCATCATGGTATAAAAATTCTTTGCTTTTGGACTGCAATAGTAGCTAATGTAAACCTTGTATTAAAGGTGTTAATTATCAAGTGTGCTGCTCATTAAAAGGAAAAATCTTTATCAATAGAAGCTGTGATGTGAGCCTAAAATCTAGCAAACTGTTCTGGCCCTGCAACCTGACTGTGGAGAGAGTCACACTGAATTGTCCTGAGACAGTTCTGAGATAACCTGGTCCACAGGCCAAAGGAAAAAAAGGAGGCAGTTTTAAATTCAAACCTCATCAGACTTGGGTATGAACAAATGTGTCTAAGAGTTAAATATAAAGAAAACATAAGAAAAAAGTAAGCCACCTTAGATACAGAACTGATAATAGTTTCAGTAGTATCCTAAAGTGCTACACTCAGCTAAGCAGTTGCTATTTAAAACTCCCTCATCAAGCCTACTGAGTTTTAGTCATTACAGATTTTTATCCTTACAGCTTTTAGTCACCCACAGAGAAATAACTGGCAAGTATTTGTTGGTCAATTCTTAATGAATTACAGGTAGGTTCTGCTTATTATTTCTATTGCTCTCTTTGTTGCTTCAATTGGGAATAAAAGGGTTTTGTGGCAAAGGCTCACTTTATCTGAGAATTGCAGTTCAAAGCAGCCCAGGCAGAAAAATTCTTCTGAGACTCTTATCTCCAATAAACTATTTAAAAAAAACCCCAAAAACAAAAAAACAAAAGTAGCACTACAACTCAAAGTGGCAGAGTGCTAACCTTGAGCAAAAGAGCTCAGGGACAGCACCCAGGCCAATGAGCAGAAATGGCAACTGAGACAAGACATCCCAGGACCCCTGGGACAAAGCCACTCTTGACAACAAGGGATCGTGGAGGGGAGTAAGAAGGGATGGCATCACATCCTAAATGGAGTCACTGTGAGCTCTACCTTTCAAATTAACCAGAGCAGGGAGATTAAAAGAAACTAGTTAATGAACATGCCTAATGGTCATACCTGTCTTCTCACTGGACAGGAACTTAATGTGAGTCTTAGTGCAGTTAATCCTAGGCAGCTTCGTAGATCTCCCATACATACTCTATAATCCAGACATCTACCAAGGCCTCTCACTGGTCTCTTAACCACTCCAATCTAGCCCTACTCTCTGACTGGTTATTCTCAACCAGTCCACCATGCTTTCCCCCACCCAGTTGCCAGACACGCTAGGCACTCCCTTTCTTCCCCTAGATTAGTTACAAGGGAATTCCTCCTTCCCTGTAATAGGCTACCCTGGGCTTGTGCTCTGAATGAAACTTTTCTGGCTTGTGCCCAGAGTGTGCTTTCATGTCTCATTCCTATCAACTGGTCCTGCTACCTTGTCAGCCTTTTGCCTGATCTCACCTTTTTCAAGCGTTTCTCTTTAACAGAATAATAGCCCTCACTCAGGACACCTCCTGGGAGCAACTCAAATCCATCCTCTTACTGCCAGCAACCAGAGGCTTCAATTACACTGCCCTGCTCTGCCCTGCCCTGTACAGACCTGGATCCTGAAGACCCCAGACCCAGTGACTCCTTGAGGCCCCCATGTCAGCAGGCAGTAGCCAGAAAAGACCACGATGCCCCTCAACTTTCTATACCCCTTCAGGGTTTCACATGATGAGGATCTGCTTTGCTCTCATAACCCCATGCTGCTCCCATGGTCTACTGACCTCCCCTAAAGCACCCCTCCAGGATCTCAGAAAAACTTCACCCCCGGCCTTTATCTGAAAGTGCAGGCTGCCAGTGTCAGAAGGATATCCCTACCATAAAACCTGCCAAATGGGACAGTTTAGACAATAAGTTCCCAACAGGACAGGACAAAAAAAGAATCCAAAGAAGAGTCTCACCTGAGCATGTATAAAAACCAACAAATTCCCATGCCTTTCCCAATCACCCTTACAGGCTGGAGATTTAGTTTATGTCTCCAATACTCATCAATCTCAACCCTCCACCCACTTCTTTAGCCTCCTTCCTAAATGGGATGGTCCCTACCCCATTATACTTTCCACCCAACAGCCTCTAAGGTCCAGAGCCGCTGCATTGGATTCACAACTGTAACAGAAAGCTTCATCAGCCTACAGCATCCTCTTACAGCACACTCCCCAAACTCCTCCCAAGACCTCTGCATCTGGATTACAAACAAAGTGGAGCTGAGCCTGCCCAGCATTCTGGAAGACTCCACAACAGTGAAACGTCCTGAGGACTTGGTCTCCACAGATGAGTAGTCTCCCCCCGCCCCCCCCACCACACACCACTTTTCTCCCTATCTCGCTACTATCAATTTCTCCATATTTTGTGGGCTGAATGTCATTTTCACCCTAGACCTCACTGCCCTTCCTATTCTCCTCTGTTTGGTGCAGGATCTACACTTGCAAGGCACAGTATCTGACTTAACCCCAGAAGAGATATATACCTTTCCCCACTTTCTTTTTTATTCTCTTACCTTCTTCTATTCTACATAATCTTTTTCCTTGCCCTTGATATTCTGGAAACTTTGCAGTGTGTGGCCCATACTTGAGCAGAGCCCCAGGTACATAACCCATATGCCTGGCATTTTTATGTGATTACTCCCTCTTTCCAATGGGTGCTTTCCTCCGCTTGGTGCCCCTCCACAGGATGCACCAGACCCATATAGCCCTCTCCTTCAACTAAGACAGGCCTGTACTTCAGAATGTTATTATGTGTCACATTACCACTATGACCCTAAGACCCTCTGTCTCATCTCAGATCAGGGCAATGACTATTGCAAACAGGACACTACTTCCCACAGTTGCCTCTCCTGGAGCTACAAGTTTCATTACTGCCATTCTTTGGACCTTGACCAAAAATTTGGCCTGGGAAACAAAATTTTTTTATCAACTGCACCCATAATATTACCTTTACAATAAACAACCCATGGGACAAAAAGTGGGAAATAGGAGTAATGCGTTCAACGAATTCCCAACTAACTACCAGAATAATTAAGATTTACTGGGTATATGTGCCCATCAACCTCAAAATAGCCCTTGAGGTGGCTTTCCCTATCATAAAAAAGTCCTCTACAGCCTTAAAAAATTCTCTATCCTCCTACAAGCCCCTCACCTGGAAAAGTCTACTAAACCAGTCTTTTCTTCAAGCCCTCAATTACACTGCAACAAATTGTTTCCTTTGTGCTGTTACAGCAATCCCCTGTAACTATGGTTCCTCTTAATGTTTCTGCTAAAGATAAAACCTGCTCTGCACCCATTATGTGGTGGCCCTCAAACCTCCTCTTGCATTATAAAATGCCTCTGTGTCTTGCTGTAGGACTCATAATTCCTTGTGTGTCCTGCCAAACCTGAGGGTATGTCAAGTAAGCATCTCATGACCAAATCCTTAGCACCAATGGAACCGTCTTTTGGTGCAGCTCCTCTTTGACTAGGTGTACCAGTCCGGGCTCTCCCTCCCCCTGCATACTGGTTTCTTCAGTTCCGCAGTACACTTTGTATGCCCACACAGAGTTCAAAACCTTAAGTACCTTCACCTCAAACCCACATCCAGGCTGACAGAGACAGGCCATTTTCCTCCCAGTTCTGGTGGGAGTGAGCTTGATGTCCACTGTCATCTCTGTTGGGCTATCTGGTATGAGTCTCTACCATTCCATAACATCTAAGGAACTCATTGAACATCTGCTTTCCTCTATTGAGGAAAGCAGAGGCCCTACACCTTCTACCAACTCAACTTAATTCTATGGCTGATGGCACACTCCAAAATAGGAGAGCTTTAGACCTTCTCACTGAAGAAAAAGGTGGGACAAAGTGTTGCTACTATATACCCATGTCAGGACAAGTGGAAGAAAATATACAGGCATTAGACAAGCTTGCCCCTGACTTACACGCTAGCAACGCTCCCTCGTTTCTGATTCATCCCTATGGAGTTCCCTAGCCACATGGATGTTGCCCCTCCTGGGTCCTCTTAGGGCCATTTTTGTTTTCCTTTTAATTATTCCTTGCATTTTTAGATGCCTGCAAAATATCCTCACAGAAAGAGCAAGACTTCACCAACCAGATGGTCAGTCAGATGCTCCGGGGACAATACCACATTACCCCTCAGGATGCTGCCACATAACTGGCTATTATCCAACAGGAAGCAATTACAGAAGATAGACCGTCACCCATGCACCCTAATGTGATATTCCCACCAAGCATAAACAAAAAAGGGAGGCGTGGTAGCCGGATTTCCTCATCTCAGGAGACACACTGCTGTCTTAGGCCTTGCAGTAAAGCATGGCCCCTTCCCTGAAATTAGAGGACACAGGGCCTTTCAAAGCAGGCAGCTGCAACCGATAATGGCAGCTCCCCACTGGAAGCAGTATCCCGTTTGTGCAGCTACAACCATAAATGGTAACAAGAGACCCCCCCTGAAGTAATTTTCTGCTCATGCAGCTGCAACCATAAATCTTAGCCCCGCCATAATGGAGCCCTTCGCTCTCACACCCTTCAGGGCTCACAGGAACCAGACCCTATGTAACTGTGCTCGTAGTACCCCCCTGGCTACTACTCTCAGCCCAGAAGGTAGCCTGTCAGGTTACTGACACTAAATTCCTTTCTTTGTATGTGACCATGTGTCTGAGTGAAGCCTTTCAGAGAAGTCATTGATATCATAGGTTTTGCACCACTCCAAAACTAAGGCCTTGGGAACTTGGGTCAAGAGTAATTAGTTGAGAGTCAGGCAGTGGTGGCTCATGCCTATAATCCCAGCTACTCAGAAGTCTGAGAGCTGAAGATAGCTAATCAAAGTCGGACAGGGTAGGAAAGCTTATGAGACTCATCTACAATTAAACACCACAAAGCTGGAAGTAGAGTTGTGGCTCAAGTGGTAGAGACCCAGCCTTGAGTGATAAAGCTAAGGAACTACATCCAGACCCTGGAGTTCAAGCCCCAGCCCCAGTACAAAACAAATAATATATAAATATATGTATATATATGATATATTCATATATATGTAAATTATATATATATATACATACATATGTATAAATTTAAAAACAGATTTACTAGCCAGGAACCAGTGGCTTGCACCTGTAATTCTAGCTATTCAGGAGGCTGAGATCTGAGGATCATGTTTCAAAGCCAGCCCAGATAGGAAAGTCTATGAGACTCTTATCTCCAATTAACTACCAAAAAAAGTCACAAGTAGAGCTGTGGCTCAAGTGGTAGAGGGCTATCCTTGAGTTCAAAAGTTCAGTGACAGTGTCCAGGCCTGGAGTTCAAGCCTAGGACTGGCACACACACACACAAAGATTTTCCCTAGGGATGGCTGGGTATATGTGTGTGTGAGGGAAGGTGGGAGTGAGGATATTCCCCAGTGCTGTGCTGCTGTCTTCCAACAGGCAAAGCAGAAGGAAGTCAGCAGCACAGGGACAGGATCTGTTTTCTGGCTCTGCCCTCCTGGTACTATAATAGCATCCTTTACAACCCAGTTCTTTTGGTCCTGAGTACTTTTGGGACTGACAGAGGAAGAGCCCTGTGTGCATACCGGAGTCATGTTTTAACAATTCCTTTTTAATCATCTGGAATCCATCGCCCCCGCTGGCCAAGTAGCTGGGGAGGATCACTTTGTACGTTTCGTCCAAGTTGAGAGGCTCGTACTGTGGTACGCGGCACCGGGTGCAGAGCACGTCCAATCTGACCACTCTGTCCCCAGGCTTCCGGGAAAGATCGTACACCACGTGGATTCCTAGAAAAGAATTTGTAAAAATTTCCAGAATTTAAACACAAACAAAACTCCTAAAACTAGACCCAAGACAGACTTCTGTCCAGCAAGGAAGGGAGTCTTGCCAATATCTGGAACTGAGGTGCTAGAATTGCTTCTCCTTTAGGTTGAGCCTAAGTGGGATTTTATCACGGAAATCAAAGGGATGCTTAGTGACCCTTTCTTCGTTAGGGTCATGGTGTGTGTGGGGAGCAGGGAGTGGGTGGTATGCCAGTACCCAGACTTGAACTCAAGGCTGTTGTCCTTAGCTCTTTTGCTCAAGGTTGGTGTTCTATCACTTGAGCCACAGCTCCACTTCTGGCTTTTTGCTGGATAATTGGAGATAAAAGTCTCACAGACTTTCCTACTCAGGCTAGCTATGAACCTCTTGATCCTCACATCTCAGCCTCCTAAATACTTAGGGTTAGAGACAAGACCACTGGCACCCAGCTTGGGGCCATCTTGAGTTCCCCCAGGAGTTGTGGGACCTACTGGAAGGAAAATGGGCATTGAATCAGAATTTTGTGGGGAAAAAAACCTCCACATTGCCTACCCTAAAATCCTTAATCGCTCTAGTAACTTAATTCAAAGGCTTTAGCAATGAGAAAAAGAGGCAGAAGGCATGTGTAAACAACTCTGAAGACTAAACTGTGGTTACTTGGGATTGGACTAGTTTCCTAGCACCTTATGTTGTGAAGCTATGCTGGGCAGAAAAGTCCCACAGACTCTTTATCTCCAATAAAACAGCAAAAAGCTGCAAGTGGCAATGTGGCTCAAGGGGCAGAGAACTAGCACCTAGAGTATCAGAGCATTACTGTTTCTTCTGCTTCCTGCTAGGAAAATGCTGGGTGTTAGGGCCATGCCATAGGAGCAGGCCAGGGCTAGCTGTTCAACCCTAATAACAGTGAGTTCTGCCCAAGAAGACTCGCCAGCTCAGTACCACTCTTCAAGTAGGGCTATGATGGAAAGAAAGTGCAGGCAGAAAATGGTTTCTGAGGAAAGAAGATTATTAAGGATTAATTCTCTGGAGTGTTAAAATTACTGGGGTATGGGAACGTGTGTGTGTGTGTGTGTGTGTGTGTGTGTGTGTATGTCTGTCTGTCTCTCGGTCATGGGGCTTGAACTCTGGGCATAGGCTCTGTCCCTCAGCTTTTCAGCTCAAGGCTAGTACTCTACCACTTGAGCCACAGCGCCACTTCCATATGGGAACATCTCAGAAGCCCTTGCAGCTTTTTGCTAGTTTATTGGAGATAAGAGTCTCACAGATTGCTCTGCCCATGATGGCATCACATTACAATCCTCAGATCTCAGCCTCAGATCTCAGCCTCCAGCAGCTGATAAGCCTAGTGTTGGTAGGGTGAGCTCCCAAGGAGGACCTATCTGATGTCCAAATCACAGTTGGCAAATATTGCTCATTGCCAGGGTGCCAGGGCTTTGGAACCATGACCTCTACCCTAATCGCCATAGCAATTGAAATATGACATATTGGTGTTGAGTGTGTGTGTGTGTGTGGGAACTCAGACAAGCTTGACCACAAAGGTCACCTTGAATGGGTGGATGAGCCAACCAGCAGGAAAGCTCACCTCATCTTGATCAGCTGTCCTCAGACCAGTGACTTACCGCCCACCTGCAGGAACTCTCCCGTGGACTGGCCATAACGATGCACGCTGTGCTCAAAAGCCTTCTTCAGGGTGGAGCCTTTTAATTGGACCAAGTCAAATGTGCCTCCGAAGGGCAACACAGCAGCGAGGTTCTCCCAGGTGATGGTTCCTGATAGTAGCCGCAGAGGCGGCAAAAAGGAAAACACAGCTTGAGAAAACACTTATGAGACCAGGTCCCTTGGAGCAAGGGAGGAAGCCAGGGAGCGGCAGGGAGCTTAGGGAGGGGTTGGGTGGCAGACCTAGAAGCTGAGGAGGCTGCAGGTTGCTTAGGGAGGAGATGGATGGTGGGGCTGGGAGGAGTTGAGTCTTATCCAAGACCAGGAGGCAAGGAGGCAGGAGCTCTCTGGGGTTCAAAAGTCCACCACTCTGAGCCTGGTTTGGACACAATCTCCAGGAGGTGGTTAAGCATGATTCCTTCCTTCAGAGAGGTATATCCCCACCACTTGTTCTTGTCTGGCTAGAAAATCAGTTGAGGCTTCATACTGACATCAGTTATGTTTGACAGCATATCAGAGAGTGTTTTGGAAATCTAATTGATTTGTTTCCCATTTCTCAGAATCTCAGTCATCTATAGACACATATACTAAAATACCAATTTAATCCAATAACGTGTCCTTGGCCTGCTCAGAAGACTGGTGATTTTGACTTTCTTTTTTCAAGCAGATATGCCATTGTGTTTTGCTTCAATTAGCAATTTGGCTTTGCAAATCAGAAATACAGGCCATCTTGGATTCTGCTGAGCATGGCTGCTGCATGTCTGTCTGTCTGACTACATGGAAGAACCATGTGTGTATCCTTTGGGCTAGGCACCACACTTGAGGAACAGCTAACTCAACCTTAAAGGTCTGGCGTGTTGGTACATGAGTGGCAGCAGAGGGGAGGGATACTGAGGCTAGTCAGGACTATGGTCAGGGCTGAAGCACCAGGGGAAAGCAGGGTAGAGGACAAAGGAGCTAGGCCTGGGCAGCATACCATTATTTTGCTCATCAATTGGTGATCGGATACCACCTCCATTTAAAATACACATGGACACATGGTTCCAGAACATTTCATCTGGGTGTCTAAGGTTGTTGTTAATCTGTAACACATATTTGCATTAGTTTTTTTTCCTGAATCTTCTTCCTTAGGATCAATTCCAGGAATCTGGTTAGCTCTGCTAAGGAAATGAAATTGCTCTTCGTCACACCTGCGTTCCCAGAGAATTCTCATCTGGAATTAGAAGTAGTTTTATGTGCCAGTAGTCATAAAACATTATTGGTCTACTTGTCTTCTTGGTCTTCATATAATTTATTATAAGTGAACTATGATGTTGTGACTAGGATTCTCTAAAATTCTTTGAAAACAAGAAAGCTCTTAGCCCCTCTAAAACCCACATCCCCCAGGCTAGAGAACTATGGTAGAACAATCCCTTGCCATGTGTGCAGTCTGAATTACAAGCTAAGTCTGGTGTGGACCAGACTGCAGGGCTTCTCCTCCCAGGATCCTCTGGGTCAGGCAGTGACCTCAAGCCCTGTCAGAATACCAGACTGTGTGCACCAGTCAGAATGCTCCAGACAAGAGCTCTTCATAGGCGATCATGTTTTCTGATTGTTACATGCTGTCACTCTATGCTTGGGGAAAAGGTTCCAGGTTCTCTTGAGTCAAGTGGAGGAAGAGGGTAGACAAGTTAGATCTAAGCAGATCTATGAACTGTCTAGCTGTTTACCTGGCAACATCTTCAGTTTTAATTCTTTTCTGTGCCAGCACTAGGGCTTGAACTCTAGGGGCTTGCACTCTTACTTGGCTTTTTCTACTGAAGGCTGACACTGTCACTTGAATCAAACTTCCAGGTCCAGCTTTTTGCTTGCCAGTTGAAGATAAGAGTTTCTTGGATTTGTCTGCCCAAGCTGGCTTCTAACCTTGACCCTGAGATCTCAGCCTACTGCATAGCTAGGCGTATAGGCATAGTATACCAGTGCCTGGCTAAAAATACTGTAGTTCTGAGCTATAAAATGATGGCTACTCAATCTAGGTCAGCTACTTGGTGTGAAATCAGTCAAGCTTTTGTCTGGGCACTAACTGTGTAAAAATTCCCAATTGTACCACAGGTGCCTGTGGTCCCTTTCTTCCTCTCTCGTCTTCCTTTCTTCTTTCCCTAGTCACAGCGCTCTGCACTTACCATAGCATCACAGATCAGGTTGCCCATGTTGCATTCTCTGAAGCGACATGACTGGGTGGTGCCATCCAGGTAGACAATGGTTTTCCCCAGTGCCTGGGTAGAGTAATTATCTAGTTTTAGCCTCCAGCGGTTAATATCTGCCTTTATGGTTGGATCTAGAAGGAAATGGGGGAAAAAGATGGAATAAAGGAAGGAGGAAGAGAGGAATCCTGTGGTTACAGCAGATCGGACCATGTAAATCCTGGAGAAGGAGTCAAACCCACTTGCTAATTAGTTCCCATCTCTAGGTACATTTTAGCTTTAACTATGACATTTCCTTAGCGATAGCTGTTCTGTTTCTTGGCAATTAGATTTGGAATGGATCTTAATGCAAGGACCTGCTGAACATGTAAGTTCATTAATTGAACTTGAACTCACTACATCAGGCTGAGTACCTGTCTGCCTACCTGGGACAGATTTGGTGGTAGTGTCAGGGATTCTGAAAGTTTCAGGACAAGTACTAAGAACTTGCTGAATTATGGACATTGTCTTCGATGTCCCCTCTCTGCCCCCCACCAGCTAATGAGAGATCTGTGTTGTGATCACAGGCTCTCCTGGATGCTGGAGGGTCTCATGGCCCATCCATCCTCATCTGATCATGAGAAACAGCACAGGACTGGTAAGAGAAGCACTGGCTGTGCGTACGCATCCTGTGTGAACACAAGCGATAGAAAAATAAAATGTGGGGCTGGGAAGGTGGCTCAGTGGTAGAGCGCTTGCCTTGCATGCCTGAGGCCCTGGGTTCAGTTCCTCAGCACCACATAAGCAAAAAGAAAAAAAAGCTGGAAGTGGCGCTGTGGCTCAAGTGGTAGAGCGCTAGCCTTGAGCTGAAGAGCTGAGGGACAGCGCCCAAGCCCAGAGTTCAGGCCCCATGACCGGACTCAAAAAAAAGAAAAAGAAAATGGATTTTGACTCTAAATTCCAGACAAGTAAAAGTAAAAAAAAGATATATTTTTTTAATCTACCCCCCTGCAAAAAACAAAAAACAACAACTTGGGTCCATCCTACTGAGCCACTTGACCATAGCACCGGTCCTTAGTGAGTGGAGGCTGAGATTTGCATTCTGCTTGGCCCGTTTTTTTTGGGGGGGGGGCTGAACTCTGGGCCTGGGCACTGTCCCTCAGCTCTTCAGCTCAGGGCTAGCGCTCTACCCCTTGAGCCACAGCGCCACTGCTGGCTTTTTCTGCTTATGTGGTGCTGAGGAATTGAACCCAGGGCCTCATGCATGCAAGGCAAGCCCCCCGTTGAATTTTTTTGTTTTTGGTCAGTCCTGGGGCTTGAATTTAGGGTTTAGGTGCTGTTTTTGCTCTCCTAAGCTTTTTGGCTCAAGGCTAGCACTCTACTACTTTGAGCCACACCTCCACTTCCAGTTTTCTAGTAGTTAATTGGAGATAAGAGTCTCTCATGAGGTTTCCTATCCAGGCTAGCTTCAAACAGTGATCCTCAGATCTCAGCTCCTGCCTAGTAAAGCTTACAGGCATGAGGGCTGGGAAGGTGGCTTAGTGGTAGAGCACTTGCTTTACATGCATGAGGCCCTGGGTTCGATTCCTCAGCACCATATCAGCAAAAAAAGAAGCCGGAAGTGGCGCTGTGGCTCAAGTGGAAGAGTGCTAGCCTTGAGCTGAAGAGCTGAGGGACAGTGCCCAGGCTCAGAGTTCAGGCCCCACAACAGTAATCCCCCTACCCCCCCCCCAAAAAAAAAGATTACAGGCATGAGCCACTAGCACTTGGCTAGGGCAAAGCTTTTTAAAAGCAGAAAACAAAGTAAGAGAACTTGGAGAAGTCAATGGGAATTGGGGCATTGGGAGTTAAAAAAAATCAAATCACTTCCTCTGTGAAGCTAACTTCTTCAAAAGTATCGGAGTCTTTCTGAAATCTTTTTTTAAGAAAAGGAGGAGAGAAGGGCAAATCTAACCACCTGTTTTTTTTGTTTTTTGTTTTTTTAAACTAGTATGACCTTCTGAATTTCACTTACCTTCCGGAATGCTGCTGTTTAGAAGAATGGGATTTCCATGTGAAGTGATGACATTTCCTTTTTCATCAAACTCGACTTTCAGATATCCTAAGTATTTGCCAAAAGCATAGGCTTGGACCACGGGAACCTTGCGCCCATCATCGGCAGTGACTATGAATGGGTACTTCCCAGCAGGCACCTCTTTGGAAGGTGGATTGCCTGAAATAAAAATGCCAGAGCTGATCAAGTCAGTCCTTGTACAGGGCTGGCTGCGGGCCCGTGGACCTCTGGCTGGATGACAGTGAGCTTTAAAACTTGCCAGCTGCCGCTCTACATAGCTGGTCTTTCAGAGTCTGCCCAGGCATCTGCTCATTTCTAAATGCCCTTTTGGCACATAAACCCTTCCATTCTCAACTCAGTAGGCATTTTCTAAGCCCTTCCTAAGTCCAGGGCATTGTGCCTGGTGCCTAGCTTACTCTATTTCCATCCTGGCTCAGCCTTATTCTTCTGAGGTGGGCATTTAGCTTTACCATACTTCAGTATCTCTGCCTGGGAAATGGGTGAAATAACTAGGCCGAATCTGCAGGCCTGTTGAGACAGTGAAATGCCTACGATTCCTAGCATGGTGTCTGGCAGGCACATGAGGCCATCGCTTCTTACAAGGTGGAGGCAACCTCTGGGAACCCTGGCCACACACTCACGGGCTTAGAATCACGAATGGAAAGCAAGCAGAAATAACTAAGAGCTGTCCTTAGATTTTTGTGGTGACACAAGCTGTCTACTGGGGTTCCCAGCACACAGACTCCCTCCCCAGCCAGCCCTCACCCCTGTCAGATTCTGCAAGCCCTGCCTCAAAGGGGCTCTAGGGAGAGCCTCATCTCCCACAGGCTTTCACATGCTTGGCGGCAGCCTGGGCTGGGCATGCATCAGTTGGGCTGTACACATCCTTTCTCTGCACTTCCTCCCTGTTCACTGTGGCTGTCATTTTGTTCGAGACAGTGTCTCAATATGTAGCCCAGGCTATCCTCAAACTAGCTGTCCTCCTGGGCAGTCTCTCATGTCCAGCCATGTCTTATCTCCATAGAGAATAATGACATAGTTTGGGCTCTTTGGAACCAGAGACTATGAAATCGATCCCCATAGACTCACTACTGTTTTTCTGTCATCTCTGTCTATGTTTGTTTATGATTAGGTATGAACTCCTGTTAGGTGTTTACAGAGGTCCAGAAAACTTCAGCACATGCTGGTTACACACAGGTACCAATCCTAAGAGCGGACCTTGAGTCAGACTCTGTGCTGTATTGCATTTAGTTTTCTAAACTTCCCATGTGGCAGGCCTTATTATTAACCACGCTTTGTTTATTGTTTATTTATTTATTGCTGGTCTTGCGCTTGAACTCAGCCTGGGTGATGTCCCTTGGTTCCTTTTTTGCTCAAGGCTAGCTCTCTATCACCTAAGCCACAGCACCATTTCCAGTTTATTCTGTGATTAATTGGACAGAAGAGTCTCATGGACATTGCTGCCTGGGCTGGCTTCAAACTGCGATCCTCAGATCTCAGCCTCCTCAGTACCTAGGATTATAGGTGTGAACCACTGGTACCTGGCCTTAACTATAAATAAGAAGACTGGACAGGGTACTGGTGGCACACATCTGAAATCTTAGCTACCCAGGAGGCTGAGAATCATGGTTTAAAGCCAGCCTGGGCAGCAAGCTGTGGGAAGCAGAGCTGTGGCTCAAGTGGTAGAGAGCTAGCCTTGAGCAAAAGAAGCTCAGGACAGTGCCCAGGCCCTGAGTTCATGCCTCAGAACCGGAAAAAGAGAAAAGAAAAGAAAAGAAAAAAAGAAAAAATGCCAAGCTAGTATGTGAGGCTCTGAGTTCAGGTCCCAGTGCTGGACACACACACACACCAAGCAGACAAGGAAAATGAAAAGACTACCTGTAAAATGCAAAATACTCAAGGTCTCACAATGACATGCGATGGGGAACTGGTTGAAAACCAGAGCTGTGAGACAGAGTCTTATTTTCTGCCTACCACCCAGTGACTCCTTACCATGTGCGATTCTCATAAAGTCCATAAGCTGGTTGTCAAAGCCCCTCACAAAGTTAAATGCAAACTCATAATTTGTGCCAAGCTATTTCTGCTCTTGTCTCTTCACCAGCCTTGCCATGCTCCTGTGCTAAGGGCGGCTCCTTTGAGCACAATAACCACAGGGTAATTGCAAACCAGCACTTCATAAGTAAGAGACAGCTGCTTCCAACTTTAAAGTCCCATTTTCATGCTTCTTCTGGAGGAAAAGCAAAAGTCTGAGACCTTTTATTTTTACTGAAATCCAGTGAGAGCCTTGTTCCATCTCCACATGCAGTAATACAGATTGACAAGCAGACAATCCAAGACAGCGGGAAGACAGATGTGCTGCACAGTAGCAGGAAAGATGAATTCACGGTCCCTATTCTGGTCCGTGTTTCTCCTTTGGACCCTGCTAGAGCCTGCTCTTCACTTCAGCTGACCAGGTAGTTAGGGCAGCCCCCACCCCAGCTTCTAATTTCCTCTTCTGAGTGCAGAGGTTTGGGCAGAGGCAGTTCCACAAATGTCCACTAGGTGGCGAACATCCTATGCAGGAGAAAAAGCACTGATAGTTTGCCTAAGTCAGTAGTAAGTAGTCTAGCAGTTTCCTGTAAACTTCCAGAGAATGGCAAGCCGTACTTTCTTTTTTCTTTTTTTGTGCCAGTCCTGGGTTTGAACTCATGACATGGGTTCTGTTCCTGAGCCTTTTTCGCTCAAGGCTAGCATGCTACAACTTGAAGCAGAGCTCCACTTCTAGCTTTTTGGTGGTTAATTGTAGATAAGAGTCTCACAGATTTTCCTGCCAGTGCAGGCTTCAAACTGCTTTCCTCAGATCTCTGCTTCCTGAGTAGCTAGGATTACAGGCATAAGCTACCAACCCCATTATTATTATTATGTTATTATTATTATGCTTATCGTAGAAATAGCTGAGCTTGAATAGAAAATAAAGTTAGGGAAGTGGCACTGTGGTTCAAGAGGTAGAGCTTGCCTTGAGATGAAGAGCTCAGGGACAGTGCTCAGGCCCAGAGTTCAAGCCCAAGACCAAAACCAAAAAAAAAAAAAAAGGACACTGACAATCGAGTCAATTGTCAATCAGCATATACTCTAAAAATAGGAGTACACAGCAAACAAGAGCACTTAACAAATTCAGACAGAATTTGTTCAGACAGAGCAATTCCCAGATCAGAAAGGCCTTAAGCTGGGCATCAGTGGTTCATGCCTATAATCCTAGGTACTCAGAGGCTAAGATATGAGGATCATGGTTCAAAGCTAGCCTGGACAAGAAAGTTTGTGAGACTCTTATCTCCAACCACCAACAAACAAGAAGTGGAGCTACTAGCTACCCTTGAGCACAAAAGGTCAGGGACAGTGCTGGGATCCTGAGTTCAAGCCCCAGAACCAACACCAAAAAAAGATGGAAGGAAGGAAGGAAGGGAAGAAAGAGAAAGAAAAAAAGAAAGAAAGAAAAAAGACGAAAAGCCTGTTGCTCCTTTACTAGAATAAAAATATCTCATTTGCATCTTAAATGAACTGAATCAGGAGCCGGAGGTGGTTTCTGATGTGGCTGAGGCAATAGCTGGTCTTGTTCAGCTAATCCCTGCCTGCCTCTCTGGTGACTGAGCCCTCTCTGCTCTCGGCCCTCCCCTTCCATTTGGCAATTCCAGAAAAAACCACGGGGAGGGAGGGCAACCCAAGACTTCACATTTTCCACACCACTCTTTGCTACTCAGCCGAAGATTCTTATGCTCAAAATATTGCCTCCACATTAGCCACATCTTTGTCTTTAGAAACCAGATTCATCATCTGGACAGGATAGAAACTGTCCATCTTTCTGTTCCAGTCACCTAGCCAGGAACCAAACCTGATGAGCATGGTGCTGTGGGTTGATATGGTATTGGGAAACCCAGGATTCTTAGTGCCAGGAGGGTACCTGAGGAATTCTTCTAAAGCACTCTTCTCAGAGCCAAGGAATTGGTGATTCCAAGTACATGTCTGGACAGCTGTCCTCCTGGGTCACATGGTAACATGCATGCCAATGAGTGGGCCTTGGTGGCTTTCCACTGGCTGAGTGTGTTAAGGTAGCCTATCTGAAGATTTTTTTTTTTCCTTGCTGGTCCTGGAACTTAAACTTAGGGTCTTGGTCCTAAGCTTTTTTTTTTTTTTTCCCCTTCAAGGCTAGCAGTCTACAAGTTGAGCAAAAGCTCCACTTCCAGCCTTTTTTTTTTTTTGTCAGTCATGGGGCCTGAACTTTGAACCTGGGTGCTGTCCCTGAGTTCTTCAGCTCTGGGCTAGCACTCTACCACTTGAGCCACAGTGCCACTTCTGTTTTTTTCTGCTTATGTGGTACTGAGGAATTGAACCCAGGGCCTCATGCATGCAAGGCAAGCACTCTACCACTGAGCCACCTTCCCAGCCCCACTTCTAGCCTTTTTGATAGCTAACTGGATATGAGTCTTGGACTTCCCTGCCATGGCTGGCTTTGCCTTCATATCTCAGCCTCCTGAATAGCAGGCATGACCCACTGGTGCTGGCCTGAGAATTGTTAGACAGATGGGGGGGAAAAAGTGGCAGACATCACATGGGTCAGATACCATGTGGCCGACCATGATGCCTTGGGCTCCTGCTCAAATGTTTCTTCTTCCCACAATGCCCAAGGTGCCTGGTCAGCCAATGAAAAGAACTGGGAATGTGCAGGCATCAAGAACTCAGCACAAAGCCTAGGGAAGGCAGTATCAGAGGAACCCCATGCTAGGATTCATTAGGCTTCATAGTGGAGTCCCTTTCCAAATAGTCTCTACATTCATGGTTTTCCTTTCACTTTCAAATAAGTTTCCTCTGTTTACCTTCACCACTTCCGGCCTTTCATTCTCTAGTGGGCAGAGGCAATCTGTACTCTTAGATGGCATTAAGTCTGAGAACGTCAATGTGAGATCCTTAAAGACTGGTAACTATTCTGGGCCTGGTGGCACCTGTTTATGTAGCATGATCAAGACCACCTTAGAAATGCAATGGATCATAGAAAGAAAAGAAATGCACTGGGAGATGATAAATTATACAGGTCTCTTGGTGTTCACACTGTGAGTCCAAAGGAAGATATTCTGAAGAGAGGATCACAAAGGTTTGATAGCTTTGTGGCATTTGATCATATCAAA